TTTTCATATACTATTTCATTAACCTTCTATATTACCAGAGGTGGGTCGGAATTCCGATTTCCGACTTCCGATTTCCGATTTCCGACGTTTTTTTCCTTCCGATTTCCGATTTCCGAAATTTTGGAAAAATTTCCGATTTCCGAGAATTTTTGAAGCATATTTCGACTAGAGATTTTTTCCAAAATTCTCAAAATTTTCGCCTGCGGCGCAAAAATTCGAAGAAATCTAACTTAAGGACCTCCAAAATTCTCAAAATTTTCGCCTGCGGCGCAAAAAATGGAAGATTTTTGGCTTAAGGCTCCAAAAAATCCCAAAAATTTTGCCTGCGGCGCTGTAAATGGAAGTTGAATAGTATATCGGAGGATTAGGTTAGATTAAGTGGACTTTGAGTTATATCGTGTGCTTACGAGGGGTCATAGGCTCTATCAGTTTTCAATTTTAAACTCTAAATATCCCTATTAATTCTATAAATTCTCTGATATCCTGTCTAATCTACCAAATCCCACAATATCTCTTTTAATCCCTTCGAATTTGACTTTTGAGTTGCAAAAAGAACTTTTACACCCTCAAATTACACTTAAGAAGGCCCATAATTTACCACCTTACAATTTTAAATAAATTTCAGTTATGAAAATAAAAATTTTATTTCCGATTTCCGCCTTCCGATTTCCGATTTCCGACGTTTTTTTCCTTCCGATTTCCGATTTCCGAAAAAAAATTTTGATTTCCGATTTCCGAGTTCCGACTTTTGAGTCATTTCCGATTTCCGACAGTTCCGATTTCCGACACCTCGGGCTGTTCCGACCCACCTCTGTATATTACCGAGACCGAGATTTTTGTTTTAAACGACGTCAAGGTTAGTTCTATAAATAGAACGTGCCGTTTATAAAATTGTTGCCCTAAATGAAGGAGTAATGCGCGTTAACTTTACTTTGTGTAGCCATACCTCCTAGGTCTGTCTAGCCTGTGCTTGTCCCTCCAAGGCTTATCCAGCTTGTCTCACCCTCTCCCTGGAATTAAAACGGAGCTCAAGCTCAATTAAAACCTGCGTTCCGAAGGAGTCGAGATCGAGAAGGTCCTTAGCTCTTTATAATTAAATACCTTCGTTTTAAATTCTAAACACTCTTTGATTAATTTATCAATTCGTTTTCCTATTGAATTTTCTTTATTTCCGTGCTTCCATTCACTCACGATCTCAAAATCTAATCTTTTTTCTAATCCATTTTGTGGATATTTTTCTTCAAATTTTAGTTTAAAAATTTCGAATTTTTCACAAAATTGTTTTTTGGTTTCAAGCGAATTATCGGAATTGTTCTTACCGATGTTTACTTAATAAATTTATTATAATTAGGTATTATGATGGATCTATGGGATATTATGTTGCTCCTTTTATTTTAGATGCCCAAAATCACTCATACTTGGTCGTAGAGAGTTGTTTCTAAGCGATACCTCTCGTTTAATGTAAGCTTATTATAAGCCTGCATATTTTATATGGATTTTGGCTTGGTGATCTGAAACTGATCTGTAGGGGTCCGACAAGTTTTTTGAGTCTAAACCATACTTGCACACGGATACGGATATGGATACAAATAATATCAAAATGCCTGCGGATATCCGTCTGTATCCGCCCGTATCCGCCGTAAATATCCGTATACGGATACCAAGATCAGTATCCGTGTGCAAGTCTGGTCCAAACCTTCAGAAACTTCATCATATCTATCTATATTCTTAAGCATCATAAACCTACAAATTACCTTCATACTCATACTCCATCTCTCCTAATTTTCTCTCCCATTCATATTCATCTTCAATTTCTCCACAACAAGCTTTACTACACTTTGAAGATATTGTATATTTAAAAAATGAGAGTAGGCCATAATAGTTTCTATCAATATTTTTCAATTCTTTACTTTTTTCCAATATACCTTCAACTCGCGACAATTTCTCATTATTTTTATTTTGCTCCTCCTTCAATTTGGTTTCATTTAAAGTTAGTTTTTCCAATTCTTTTTTCCATTTCTTCAACATTTTTTTGCTCTTCCTTTTTCCTTTATCCAATTTTTTAAGTCCTTCCGTTATTTTACTTCCACCGATATTTAATCGCTCTATTAACCCTTTCGTCTTTTCTTCATCAAGTTCTTCCTCGAATTCTTCTCTCAATTTTTCTTCCCTAATATTCATCTCCTTCTTCAATTCATCTTCCTCTTTATATGCCTGATCTAATTCTTGTTTAGATTTTTCTTGTAATATTTTCACTTCATCAGACCTATGTTATAGAATTTTATGAATCAAACCGACTCCTGCTGAACTAATAGGCGGCAGATAAAAGTGACTTCGAAATTTCTCACATTTTCCCGTTCTGTCTGCGATAGGTTAGGTTTGATAGGGACCCTTGTCTCCCCCTCCCCCTCCCCCCCCCCCACCACAACTACTCCTTGTCATCTACCCCCCCCCCCCCCACCACAACTACTCCTTGTCATCTACCTCCCCCTCCCCCCCCCCCCCCCCCCACATCCCTCATTACCACTTGTCTGTCCTCCCCCCCCCCCATTATCTCTGTCTGAAACACGAAATTGGAAGCTTAAAACTATGGATCCGCACTTGCTGCTGGTCTTTCTCCCCTCGGGTCTGTCTTGGAGTAATGATACAATTGATCAGTTGGAAATAATAATCAGTTAGAATATTCTAGTTATACCTTTTGCTTTTTAATTCGTCAATTTTCCATTTAGCCTTTCCATGATTCTTTTTCAGTTGAGTTTGTTCCAGCTTTTTTTCCAACTCTTCTCTCTCCGATTTTAGTTTCCTTAAGTCCTCCTCTAAACCTTTCTTCAGCTCTTCCGATTTTACATTTTTCAATTCCTCTTCTAAACTCTCCATCTTCAAAGCATTATCCTTCATTTTATTCTTCACCTCCATTCCTTCCAGTTTCATATTCAATTCAAAAACTTCTTTTTTTAAGTCAAACAAATCTTTTTTAAACCCTTCCACATTCCTTCTTATTAAGCCTATTTGCTCTTCACTCACTTTATTCCTCAATCTTTCTTCCACCTTCTTTTCCTCCTTCAATTTTTTCTTCAATTCAACTTCCCTCAATTTCTTTTTTTCAATTTCATTTCCCAACTCAATTTTTTTAATCTTATACTTCAATTCATCCTTCTTGTCTTTATCCTTCAATTCTTCCTCTCTCAATTGTATATCCAAATGAACATTCTTATTTTTTAATTCAACCGATTCTCTTAACGCTAAATCTTCAGTCATTTTTTCTTCTGCAAACAACTCATCCATACTTTTTAGTATCTCAAACATATCCCTTCCATAGTGAATCACTATAAGGTCCGTTAATTCTGTTTTAAATAAAAAAAATAAAGGGTACTGTAGATCCCTTCAAATGAATTGATCTCTATGGCTTATAGTTGTTTTACTATGATTTATAAGCATCGGCGTATGATTAAAATGACATTACACTAGCGTTTGGATCATTGGTCTAATTGGATCATACTAGCCCGGTTAGCTCCTTAGTGTCTTTAAAGAATTAATTGATCTCTTCAGAGATAACTTGATTGAACGATTATTGCACTCAATCAAGTACCTATTGTCCTTAACAGATTGATCTAACTCAATTAATTGTCCACTCCAAGATAAATTGAAACAATCATTTTTCTATATCATGCCCATCTCAACTTCGATTAATTGATTCCCGTATCAATTATCTTTGGAGTAATTGATCCCTTCCTATTTATAGGGTGTCCGGAAAATTGGGCTCAGGAAAATTGGGCTCCAAGATTTTTCGGAAAATTGGGCTCCAACTTTTCGGAAAATTGGGCTCCAGCGGAAATTTGGGCTCTTCGTGAAAAAAGCGGAATATTGGGCTCTAAAATTTTGGGCTCCAGAGGAATTTTGGGCTCTATGGAAAAAAGTCAAATCATGCAAAAAAAGAGATGTTTGTATGGGGTACACGCCAATGTACTGCCGCCGTTGGTGGAACAACATCTCCCATTGATAGAACAACATCCCCCGTTGACGGAACAACATCCCCCGTTACCCCCGTCATTCTAACAACATCCCCCGTTGACCCCCATCATTCTAACAACATCCCCCGTTGACGGAACAACATCCCCCGTTGACCCCCATCATTCTAACAACATCCCCCGTTGACGGAACAACATCCCCCGTTACCCCCGTCATTCTAACAACATCCCCCGTTGACGCAACAACATCCCCCGTTGACCCCCATCATTCTAACAACATCCCCCGTTGACGGAACAACATCCCCCGTTGACCCCCATCATTCTAACAACATCCCCCGTTGACGGAACAACATCCCCCGTTGACGGAACAACATCCCCCGTTGACGGAACAACATCCCCCGTTGACGGAACAACATCCCCCGTTGACCCCCATCATTCTAACAACATCCCCCGTTGACGGAACAACATCCCCCGTTGACGGAACAACATCCCCCGTTGACCCCCGTCATACTAACTACGTCCCCCATTGATATTGCATAATTTGACTTTTTTCCATAGAGCCCAAAATTCCTCTGGAGCCCAAAATTTTAGAGCCCAATATTCCGCTTTTTTCACGAAGAGCCCAAATTTCCGCTGGAGCCCAATTTTCCGAAAAGTTGGAGCCCAATTTTTCAAAAAATCTTGGAGCCCAATTTTCCAGAGCCCAATTTTCCGGCACTCATTTATAGATACTCCAGAGAAACAATAATAACCTTCTCATCTACTCTATCCACGTTCAGAAAGGAGGTGAGAGGAGGCATTACTTAATCTCATTAATTTATCCCAAATCTGTTGAACGTCCCGGCTGCCCATCAACCATTAAAGGTGGGTATAAAGTTCAACCAGTTTAATTGACCCTCCAGAGCTAGCTAGATAAATCAATTTCCCTTTTACGTTCAATTTATAAACCTCTCCTGATGAATTACATCCGGTTGAAATATTTGAAACATGGGGGGGGGGGGGTAAATTAATCGAGCATTTACGATATCTTAATTAAAATTTATTACTCATATTATCCTTCTCAATGAAATGCTTCATACGGTTTGCAAGGTCCTCTCTGTACTTCTTTTTTCCTGCCAATCCGGTTATAATTAACATTCTTTTGATGTATTCAGGAAGTTCTAATCTTTAATAAAAAAAGCAATTAATTTTCTAAAATTAATACTATACACTTTTGGAACCGGAAAAATTTAACGTATAATGAGGGTCCTAAATAGAGGGTATCAATAGAGGGTATCACTTAAGCAGCTTTCAAGCTATTATCCAACTGACTTTCACAAAACCGTATCTTAATTAAAGGGGTGTCTAGTAATATTTTCTTGTGAAACTTGGTTAGATACTGTGGGGAAGTTGCTGATTGATACCTCCTATGTAAGGTACCTCATTATAAGAAAAATTTCTTTAGTGAACGTATTATTTTACCCTTTAGATTCGCCAACAATCGTAATAGATCTCTGCAATTTCGCCTTCCTTTTCTGCGTTTCTTGAAAATCCTTACTTTCACCTATGCATTTATTAAAAAATTCATTCGAAAATTCTGAAACGCTTTCCGACTTGTAATCTGAATTTATTATGAGTACTGCAAAGGCGTGAGTGAAGCTAGATGACACTCCATTTTCATCAATACTTAAATCACCTTTTATAATATTGCTTATATTATCGCAAAATGATATTATCTGATTAGAAATCTGTAAAAAAATTTTAGATTATGTTTTGAGGCGTCAGATTGCTTAAATACTAATCTCATTCCAGACCTCATCGTAACAGATCTCATTCGTAAAATATCAAAAGCCTTGATGGGATTGAATATGAGAGCCAAGCCATATCACCCGATATATTTTCTTCCGTTGGTTTAATTTTTGTTAAACGGATATCCGAAACTGGAAAATGTCAGGATATCCTAAATCTCGGTTTTAAACGGGTCTGGCTCCTGCTATCAAGAGAGTTTCAAGGAGAGAACCTGTCCTTATTGCAGAATATAATTTCTTATAAATCCAACTTATACGGTATTTCTGAATACTTGGTGTTATCAATATAAGCCCAGCTATCGAACACCTGAAATCGAACCTGTTTAAATCCTTCATTAGAGAATAATTCATCATTTGTTTCAACTCGTCTAATAAGAATATCATAGATTTCGACATTTTCGTTTTTATTTTTTTCCAAATGTTTATTATAATGTAAATGTATTTCTAAATTCGAAATTTTATTGTTATTTTCCCTCATTTTTTTCATGTAAGGTATAAATACTTCATATTTTCTACTATCGCCCATTATACTCATTGCAAAGATTCTGTCATAGTAAAGAATAATTTTGTTCAATTCAAATTTTGGACGTGCCAAGATAATGTCATATAGAGTATCAAAATCTTCTTCATTTAAACTTCCAGAATCTGTTTAATAGAAGAATGTTAAACCAGAGTTGGGCCGGGTTGAGAAAAGTGTCGAGTCGTGTTAGTTAAAATTTGAACTTGAGTCGGATTTTTTGGAGGTTTTGGTGATATAATATATCTAGAGGTTAATATGTATCTTCCATATATACTTAAAATCCGCCGATATCCTCTCAAATCCCCGTCATATCCGCAATCGGTGGATATATCCAGATTTGCGGTAATATAGCGGGTGATATATGGATATATTTGGGTCTAAGTTATTTTTTCCTACCCTTAGCATTCATTCGAGCCTCATTTTAGAACTTAGCATACCTACCTACTTCTGGCCAAGCTTCTATAAGCTTTATATGTAGGCTTGTCATAAGTATTTAGGTATAATTATCAAAAAATATACCTTTTTTCAAAATATAATAAATAATTTTCGCCATCTCTTCGTTTTTGTCATTAATAAGCTTTTTCAACAAAAACTTTCTCATACTTTTAAAGGAATCATAATTAGCAAATATTTTTTCAAAGCATCCTTCCAACTTTTCCTTAAATTTTTAATTTTCTATTTTATTAAAGCCTTAAAAACTCGAACCCCCCACCCCTCAGTAATACGTAAGATTTCTTACATTATAAATTTCCAACACTTCTTTGCAATATACATGTAGTAGTTCTGCTCTACGCCATTGTGGGAGAGGCAGAAATACTTCCATAATTTTCATCCACGGAATATTATCTATTATTCTGTCATCATCTCCTTTTTTAATCTTTTTGGTTCTTAAATTAATTTCTTTAAGAATTAATATCAAGGATTTTCTTTCACTGTTGATATCATTAATCGGGTAGAAGCGACTACATTTGAAGTCTACGGTCAATTTATATTGGGTTAGTGGGTAGCGTTGATCTGAAATTCATTACTGATTATTAGAATACATATATAATAGCTACTCTTTAAAATTTAACTTTGTTTGTTGCCAGATTGAGAAGGGTTACTTAAAGCCTGATATCTGCTCACTTGAACATAAACCCGGAACTTGATCCGATAAATTTTAGAAAACCCGTTCCTAAACTCAATCCGACATTTTTTCAGCTCATCATCACTGAGTGACAGTCATTTTTGCGGATGTGAGTGATGATTTAAGGTCTATGGCAGCGCATTCCTTGACAGACGATTGCGTAATTTAAATAGTTTTCGGACTTCCGGATTACAGAGTAATGATTGTTCCTATTGTGACAACCCCAAGCCTTTGTAAAAAAGCTATGAAGCAGGGATGGGCGATTTCGCATTTCGCATCTTTCGCATTTTTTGGCGCGAAAAGTTTCGCATTCCGCATTTCGCTTTTTGGTCCAAATGCGAAATTTGTTTCGCTTTTTCTTAAAGTATTTTTTTTATTTTTAAGAAATTTTTTAAAATTATAATGTCTTTAATATGGAAGTATTTCTCACTTTCTGGAAGAGTAGCGTTCTGCAAAAGTTGTAGTTTTTCAAAAAACTACCCGCCACGTGCGCCAACAACATTTTTAATCTCACATTTACGTGGCAGTCATCAGGGGTGGGCGCATTGCGTTTTGCGTTTTTTGCGTTTTGCGTTGATTTTTGGCCTTGCGTTGCGTTTTGCGTAAATTTGGCCAAAATTAACGCAAAAAAACGAAAGAAATATACCCAATCTGAGGGCAAAATCTGGAAGAAATCTGGCTTCTAGCCTTCCATAATTCTCAAAATTTTTGCCTGCGGCGCTGAAAATTGAATAAATTTGGCTTCTAGCTTTCCATAATTCTCAAAATTTTCGCCTGCGGCGCTGATATCTGGGAATCTATCAATCTCGAGAAAATATTAATAGATTGTGAGAGTCAGTTCTCCCGTTATTGCCCACAGTTTTCCCGTTATTGCCCTCAGTGATTTCTCCTTAATAATCGTCTAAATCCTCTGATATCCTTCATAATCCCATTATATCCCCGATATCTCTCCAAATTATTACCCAACCAACTTACTTGTATCTCAAACTTATATTAATACTTCAATTTTAACTGAAAAATTTTAATTGAATTTTTTTTTGAATTTTAAATAATTTCGCATTTTCGCATTTCGCATCTTTCGCATTTTTCGCATTTTTTGGCGCGAAAAGTTTCGCATTCCGCATTTCGCATTTTATTTTTTTAAAAAAAGTTTCGCATTTCGCATTTCGCTTTTTATTTTTTGATTTCGCCCATCCCTGCTATGAAGCTTCTGTTATAGATTTCAATTAATTTTGGCAATTTTTAGCCCATCATAAAAACATACCAAAGCTAGTTTGTCTAGACATATGAGGATGTATTGTTTGCCCAGCTTGAATGCCTACATCCTCACTTTCCTCAAAATTATTTTTAACATCCCAAAATCCATTAGAACAAGCAAATAAAATAGGGAGGAGGGAAAAATATAATTTCATAATAAAATTCTTAACATAAATTATTTCTGAGTAATTTTAGGTGCTATTACTATTGAAGAATCTTAGATTAAGAGATCCATCAGAGATCGAACCAAGCCATTATCCCATCGAAAATCCTTGTTATAGGTTTGGAGATTTTTTGACATATCAATTCAATATCTTTATTTCATATCAGGTCTCTTGTCCTTATCAGAGTTTACTCGTGAAAAATAAATTTCCGAATTCGGGAATCTGTAATCCAGAGAAAATTTTTCCCAAAAACAATGAAATTAATATAAATACTAGTTTACTCAATCGAGAACAAATAATGGTTTTATAACAAATATTTATTCAACTGTCCAATCCCAAAATAAGGAAAATTAGTAAAGAGTAGCCATTTATTTTTAATAATGACTAAACATCCTCGTATTCTTCAATTAATATTTATTTATTATTATAAAAAATTAATTTTATTTAAATTTAAATTTAAAAAATTAAAATGAAGAGTGAATTAAAGCGAATCCGGCTATTTATCTATTACGCGCGCGTATATCTCTGTCAATAATTTTTAAAGATGTCTGTCAGCTGTCCTTAATAAGGGCAATGTTTCACAACACTTATTTTGATTTAAAAGTGCATTTAAAACACAAGACTAGTACAAAAGGATAAAAAACAATATTAAATTACATAATAAGCCCTATATTTATTTTTGATGTCCAATGAAGTTTTATTGGTGAAACCAAGGTTTAGGGTTCTAATGAAGGTCTATGAGTCCATGAAGCCTATGCTTCCGAACAATTGGGCTTTTGACATAGCTCTTTTATTACTGCGTTATTTTTTATAGTTTTCCACAATCAAAGTTCTCTTTAAAATAATCCTGAATAAAGTTACCGCTGCTCCCGAAGGATAATAACTACGCGATCCAACTCAAAATTTTATACATGCTAAAATACAGGGGTATAATAAAACGTAAAAGGATTACCGTATTTTTTTAAATAGTGCGACTATCACTATTAGACCACCCTTTCTAATAAACCGACCCTCTATATGAAGGTTGAAATATAAACCGACCGGTGCACTATTAGAAGAAATACGGTATATTGTAAAAATTTACTCGAATAAATACTTTCTTTACATGTATAATTGCCCCCTCCATTTAGAGCAGGAATGTTATCGGTCACCCGAAACCCGACATTTTCCTGGAAATTTTCCCAAACAAGGAATAAATCTGACAAAATTTCCCTGATCCAGCATTAGAAAAAATAATTAGGCTTCTCAAAATAATTATACTCAGCCTTCCTACTTCCTAAAAACCTCTCGCGAGAGATTGAAACAATAGTTACCCAGGGTATTTACTTGAGTAAATAAAATATTAATAAATATGGATATTTAATAATAAATGAATATTTACATAATATTTAAATGTTCACAATGCTCTCCCTTACACCTCTCTCTTGAGTTTTTCTGACTAGATTATTGAGGTTTGGCTCGAAAAAATTACATAATAAATATTTACATAATACAGGAATGTCTCATAAGCCCTCACCTAATTCTCACTCTCTCTCTTTAATTTTGATAACTCGATTCCTGAAGTTGGGCTCGAAGTATCAGATGTCGGATAACTCGAAGTATCAGATGGCGGATAACTCGAAGTATCAGATGTCGGATAACTTGAAGTATCAGATGACGGATAACTCACTTCTTGCCCTACCAAATTTCCATTGTTTTGATTAATTTCAATCTCTATTCCGTTTTGTTTAAATTTTTCGACAAATATTTCTTTAAATGATTCAAATTTAATACCCAATTCATTCTGTTCAATCATCTTTTTTATAATCCCCAATAAATCTCTTCCATTTTCGACTATTAGAAGAGACAGTAATTCTAAATTTGGAAATTTAAATTTATTGCAAATGCTATGAAAGGCTCGGTTCTATAGGAGATTTATGTATATTAATTTTTATTATTTCTATAAAAGGTCTATTAATAGGCCTCCCCTTCCCGTTTAGAAGGGGAGAAACACTATTATTAGGAGGGGAGCTGGTTTTGTTCCTTCACTAGAAGAAATCTCTCCAGGGCACTTTCCGTTCCCTAGTAAAATTTGTAGAATAAATTTCATAGATAGGTGCACATTTGTCTCACGCTACCGTATACGCTAATTTTTTAATTTTATTTATTTCCAAATATATTCCTCAAATTATATTTCTCAAATATATTCCTCACACGGCAATTATCCTTCCAGTCTCTCGCTGGAGAGTTTTAATCTCTTTAAAAATTATACCTTCATATTTGTCATTTTCAACATACAATTTTATACGGTTAACAATATATTTTTTATATTCCTCCCCATCCAAACGAGTCTCAATCAGCATTCTTTTTACACATTCTGGACGTTTATTCTCGTATTTTGCTTCAATGTATCCTTTGAAGTCGTCATGCTCTGTATCATTAACATACTTAATAAGGATTTCCCAAACTTTTTTATACTTTTTCTCTTTTTCCATACTGTCTTTTAATTGTTTTATCAAACTCGAATCAGTAGTGTGATTTCCAAACTTTAGGTATTCTTGCATTATGCTTTTCTTTTCAGTATTTGGATAAAATTTGTCATATTTATTTACAATAGCTTTTAAATCTGATTTTTTCCTGGCCAAAATTATAGTGTACAATGCATCGTAATCTATCTTTTGTGCTGAAATAATATTTACAAATAATTTTTAGAAGGTGTAAGACTCATTGTCATTTTCTGTCATTTACAGCCTTATATGAAAAGGAAAATAATAATTTATCATAGTATTAGGGAAGGAGGGCGTTAGTCACTCCACTCCTGAAAAAGTGCTCCCAATCTAGGATTGAGAAACCTATTCATCTATCAATTAACTCCCTCCTTTAATATTTATCAAAAAATAGTTTTATTTCTGCTAGGAAAGGGGTTTAGTCGAACACCGAGAGTTTGGGAATTAATTCCTGCCCAACGCCGACCAGAGGGGTATACCGAAACAGCTTAGCTGGGTAACCAGAGACATTATTAGATAACCAAAATTATTCATACTGTTAAAATATTTGTGCAAAAGTCTTTTATTGACTCACATGAATTTAGAATATAATGGAGACGTTTAGCTATCATTTCGTTCTTATCATTAACTTCATGTAGTTGTATACTGTGTTTGTATTCCGCGAAGAGAAGATCAATTGGTTTATTTATCTAAAAAAATTTCAGTAAATTGTAGGGCCCTCTAAAGATTTTTCATTAGTATACCTTCTGAACTTCCAGACAAACTTCTGTCAATTTCTCAATTCTTTTGTTGATTGAATCTTCACTGCTTCCATTAATCCATTCTTCTACTGTTTCAAAATCATTTCTTTTTTCTATTACATTTTTGGAATATTTGGTATTCATAATTTCAGAAAAGTCCTGTACTTCCTCACAAAATGGATTCCATTCAGTTAAATGTTTAAGCATATTCTTCTTTTTTAATACAACTTTAAAATAGTGAAATTATAACATTATTAAATTTCCATTTGATTATAGAGGCCAATTCGTGCCGATCTTGATACTCTCTCAATTTGGGGCTTAAAGTTTTTTTCTGAAAAACTGAGAATTCGGGTATCCTTTTGAATCATCATTTCAAATATACACTGTAGGTCTTGCTCGTTATAGATCCCAACGAAATAGTCAAGCCATTACGGTATTTACTCATTATCAGAAGTGGGTTTGAGCCGGTTCAGATTGAGCCATTCCGATTTCCGGCTCTTCCAATTTCCGACACCTCTGACTGTTCCGACCCACCTCTAACGACTACGAAATTTTCTCAATTTTGTCCCCAAAATCCCAATCACTTTTAACTTTTATTTTTAATTTCAATAAGTATTCCAATAGAATACCCAGGCACTTATCTTTAATGTTTCCTTTAAATTGGACTTCTAATAGCACATGGGCTTCTACAGGGATATTTACTGTATTTTACTTAAGTAATTGATGATTACCTTTATATTCATATTCTAAACTTCCCAATTTCACCTCCATTTCATATTCTTTTTCTGTTTCTCTATAGCAATTGGAATTAAATTTATTTGATGTTGCATAATTGAAAAATGAGAAAATTCCATTATCATTTTCAATCAGCTTAAATCTTGCCAAATCTTTTAAAATCTTATCTGCTTCAACAGACAATTTAGCTATTTCTTCCTTCAGTTTTCCCTCTTCCTTTATTCCTTCTTCAATTTCTTTTTCAATTTCTTTTCGTAATTTTATGATTTCTTCTTCCTCCTCCTCTCCTTCAATTTTATCTTCCTTAATTCTTTTAAACTCTTCTTTAATTTCAATTTTCATTTCACAGATATACTTCATTTTTAAATAATAATTTTTTCTTGATCGAATAGGCTTCAATTCATCTTTCAATTTCAATCCGTTTTCTCCCACAAAAATTTTCAATTCATCGTCCAATTTCTTCAAATCTTTAGAATATTTAGCATCTTTCTCTTTAAATTCTTCATCATGTTCCCTTTTGATCTCATCCTTCCTACCTTCAAGTTCCTTCATTTTAACCTCCAAATCCTCAATTTTAACCTCCAAATCCTCAATTTTAACCTCCGAATCCTTCATTTTAACCTCCAAATCCTTCATTTTAACCTCCGAATCCTTCTCTTTGTTCAATACCTTCTTCTTATCCTTCTCATTTTTACTCTTCTCTTCCAACTCCCCCAACTTCTTCAACTCCTTCCCCTTCAACTCCATTTCATGTTCCAACTCTTCCAACTTCTTCAACTCGCTCTCCTTCAACTTCATTTCCTGTTCGATCCTTCCCAATTCTTTATCGTATTCTTCCTCCATAATTTTAACTTCGTCTCTAAAATCTCTCGTCAAAGTTTCTTTTTTGCTTCTAACTTCTTTCCCCTTCACTTCTTTTTCCCCCTCCAATCGTTTTATCTTATTATCTTCTTCCTTTTTTATTCCCTCCAATTCACCTTCCAGTTTCTTCAGAAACCCTTTTTCATTCTCTTCATCCTCCTCAAAATTAATTTTCTTCAATTCTTCCATCATCTTCTCTTTCTCTTTAATTATCTCAATCTTGTCTAGCACTTGTTTCAATTCCTCATCATTTTTTATCTTCAATGTACCTTCATCTGGTTTAATTTTAAATCTTTGCTCGTTCAAGTCTACTTGCTTCAAATAAATTTTGTTTAAAATTTCATCGAATTTTAATTCAATAAATTCTTTTTTTAATGTATTATTTAACACATTTCCTGATCCTTTCAACTCAATTTTGAATTTAGACTCATCCCATTTTATCCCTTTCAATTCTCTATTTAATCTAAGTCTTCTCAATTTATTTTTTAATTCAAACAAATTTTCTTGATTTTTTCTATTTTGTTTTTTCAATTTATCTTCGTCCATAATTGACAAATCGTAGTTACTCAGTTTAACATTTGTGTTCCCTATATCCAAATGTTTAGTTGCCACTAATAAATCACTTCCATGATGAATTACGACTAGGGACATTAATGCTAAATTAAAGAAATAATTATATTTTAAATAAGGGTAGCCGGGGACCGGGATTGCCTGGGAGGGGGGTTGTCGGGGTAGAGTCTTACGGGTTCAGGTCTGGGTTTTTGCCTAAAAATTCGACGGGGGTTGGGTCGGGGTTCGGAAGACGGGGTTCGGAAGACTCTTCCCTTCCAACTCCCCCAACTTCTTCACCGGAAGGTTGGGTTTCGGAAGAACCCTAATTGAAATAAAGACCGATCTTGCAGAGAAAGTCCCTTTAATCATAAGGACTGGTCCGGATATCCTGTGATTTTCAGGATATCCTGGATATCCACCATATCCCTAATATAACCACTACCTAATTTATGCACATTTCAAAATAACAAATCAAAATCTAAGAATTTTATAAACCTTCATAATCAAGCTTTTCATTGTAATAATTAATGCGGTTAGCAATATCCTCGTTATATTGCCCCTTTCCTGCTAATCCAGTTATAATCAACATTCTTTTGATGTACTCAGGAAGTATCTCATTATTTTGATTTTTCATTTTGATAATTCCTTTACATTTAATTGTAAATTTTTTGCCGAATTCTTCAGCTTTTTTTGATTTGAATTCAAAGATGCTTAGAAGACGAGCAAAATATTTTATAAAATTTGATGTGTTGTAATTGTTATTTTCGATATTTTTGACAAAATTCTCACAGAACGAGAGGATTTCATTAGATATCTATATAGCAAAAGTAATTGTGTAAAGCAGATAGCTATTTATTTCCTAAGTCAGTTCAGTAAGGGGGTGTTGTAATGGATAACATATCAGCCGCTGAATAAACTTTTGCACTAGCTGAAGCAGGGAAATGTCTATAGCCCAGCTGTTTTACAATTGTTTATATTTTTATAACAATAGGAGAATCGTCTCAAATAGTGAACCTAATTACAAACCCAAAGATCATTGGGTTCTTATTTGTTAGGCTATGATCGTGTCCAAGTTAACACTCATCTTATTCGTATAACAATAAGTACATTTCCCCAGATTATCACAAAGCTTTTAAGCCTAGAAGAATCTTGTTTAAGCTTTTAATTATGAGATTAAGTTGACCAGCGGATGACGATCTAGCTAATATCTTTTAACGAAAAAATCTTCTGTTCTAAACTAAGTGCTTCCGCCCCCGTAGCAAAGCTTCGCAAACACAATCTTCATGAAAACAACCATAAATGGGATATTTTATAACAGGGTCTGTATTATAAAATTCGAACCTTTTCAAAGTTTTCATAACCAGACGGATCCATTATAGTAACATATTTTACTCTATTAATAATTATGTCCCATAATTCTTTGTTATCTTGATCAGCCTTCTTTTTATCTAGCAAAACTTTCCCCAATTTTACTTTCTCTTTTTTGGTATCTTGGTTATCTGCATATGGATTTTCTGGTAGTTTATCCTCTTTTTTATTCCAAAAAGGATTTCCAAAAAATTTTTTCTCATTTTTGTCCGTTTCCTCTACTTTATCCAGTTCCTTTTCTGGCTCGCTATCATATATTTCGATTATCTTTTTAAGCTCAAATTTAGGGCGAGCCAAAATAATGTCGTACAAAGTGTCGAAATCAATGCTTTCTTTAATGAGAAAAAGTTTGATTTTTTGATTAAATGTTTAAATTTATTAGGTAAGTGCTGCTAAATTTAAGAGCTTCGACTTATGATCGGTTTTAACACATTAAAACCTGTATTAGTTTTCTCCCTCAAATAATTACCCCTCCTCTAGTGACTGCCCTCTTCCGTGAGAGAGTGATTGCCCTCTTTCGTGAGAGATTTGAAAACCCTCTCTTAAATAATTCGCCCTATTTTTCATACACTGATTAAAAAATATTAAAGAATACTTATTAATTTTGATGATAGAACATATTAAGGATCAGAATAAAAATCATAAATTTAGGTAGTCTCAAAATTTAGTTAGTCTCTCTTAGTTAGTCTCAATTTAGTTAGTCTCAAGTTGGTGATTCAACTACACGGATATCCTAATGCTAAAATTTCTGATATGGATATCTGATACATCTTTTGGTATACTCCTCCTTAAATTACGATTATTAGACCATAAGACTAGTTCCTAGCTAAAATCTTTCGCATTTTTAAATTAAAAGACAACCTGAATTTAATGTGTAAAATAAACGTTCTGCTAAGGCTTCAGATTTATCAACAATCAACAATTCCAATAATTCAGATCTTTTTATTTCTGGTGAATTATACTCTTCAAAAAGTTTTTTAAGGCATTCATTTAAATTATCCTAAAGAATAATAAAATATCAGTGGGTTATTGATAAATTACAGTTTCAAGTTTTAACACGTTTTTGCAATACAAAATTGCAGTTTCAGCCCTGCGCCTTTGAGGAAGAGGCAAAAATAGATTGTTGATCAAGTTCCAACAAAAATCTATGATATTTTTTAATTAAACTATTCAAACTCGGAAGAGTTATTCCAGAAAACGCCAACCCTACTCCCACATGAATGAGGAGGTTATGACTACTGAAGGAAGAGGGCACTCTACTAAACCCAGAGCTAGAGTTCGTTTAAAATCCAGATTCCTATTATGGTTTAATGCATCTTGAAGGGTTGCTGATCCAGGATTTAAATTGATGTTATCTGCTAATATTTTGGAAACGAGCCCAAGTTCGTGGTCTATGACATCGGCTCGTTTTTAGACCATGGTCCGATAATACCAAAACCAAGTAATACTTTTAATAATTTAAAAATACCTTTAGTTGATTTACTTAATTCTTTATCATTATGAATTTCATTTAGAATCGACCATAAAGGCTTCCTTCCATATTTATGATCAGAGCTATCAGGATACCAACGGCTGCACTTAGGACCTTCTTTTATTGGATACGAATGTAGAGGACGGCGAGGATCTTTTTCTAAATAAATTTAATTTTATTAAGCTTAAATTCCTTTGGAATCACAGCCCAATGTACAACCAGTATCACGTGCATATTAGTTCGATTGTCAGGAAAGTTTTAATTAGAAAAATACCGTAAATTAAACAATCAGATCCCTGGCATGTCATTTTTTATATGTGAAAAACTTCAATTTCAAATTTAAAAATAACGCAAAGTGCCAAAAATTGGTAAACATTACGCCAAAATTGAAGGATAAAACGCCCTAGAGGATGACTCTAATCTTTTTAAATTTACATAAGGGATGAGACTTCACAAATTTTTAAAAGATGAAAGCTTATGAAAACCGTGAATAAAAAACTGAATATAAAAGCGACAATGGAAGATATCTGATCCCTGATCCACATACTAAGATCTTATCAGAAAATCATATGATTTTTAAAAAATGAATTCTCTACCTTTAGTGTCCAACTTCATCTATAAATTAAATTAGTAAATTTATTTCTAAAAATTTCCATACCTTTAAGCAATCATTATTTAATTTTTCAATATTTTTTTCCATTGAATTTCTCTTCCACTCCCCTACAGTTTCAAAATCCTTTTTATTTTGAATTAATTCTTCTTTATAAATTTCTTCAAAATTTTCTTCAAATTTTTTAAATTTGAAGCAAAATTTCTCTTTTCCCAGCCAATCGTTTGATGAAATTTTTGCTTTAATTTTTTAAAATTTTTTATAATATTTTATTCAATTGATAATACTAAGGTAGGACACAAACTGTTAACCCGATTCGAAAACCATTGTTTTTGGCAAATTAATCGAAATCAAAAACTAGGGGACAAACCCGGTTCTGGTTAGGGAACAACTGAGATACATGGTGGTCGAAACCCTAGGTCGTAAGCCAGAAAACTTGGGGTCGAAAGCCAGTTTTGATTAACAATAAGACATGTTAGAGTCAACAAAAACCAAAGGCAAAACCCAGGGTACAAGAGCGATCTAGTCGAACCGAAACCGAGTGTCAGTCAAAAACCGAAATCGAACCCTTGGCTCGAAAGCCAGTTGGTAACTAAAAATTGTTAGTGCCTGCAAGCCTTTCTGTGTCATCCCCAAGTTATTATATCTTCCCCAAATACCTTGATTTTCATAAACCAATCTTCCTAATTTCATTTCCCATTCGTATTCTTTTTCTGTTTCTTCGTAGCAATTTATAAAATCTTTCGTTTTGCTGTATGAGAAGTAGGAATTCAATCCAAAAACATCATTTTTAATTTTTGGCTTGATAATTATATTTTTCTGATCTTTAAAAATTTCAAATAGATCACTTCCATGATGAATTACCACGAGAGATAATAAACCTTAATTTTGGAATGTTTGAAATATACTCTTTAGCCACAGAGCTACGTTGTAAATTAAAAGTTATCGCGAGCCTCTCTTTTCTCTGTGTTGAGGATTATTTGGTATGCTCTTAGAATCAGCTCTATGATCCGACTTTGAAGCCTTCTTCCTAATCCTGCTCTGGAGCTCGGCTAGGAATTTAAAATGGCAGGTTATTGTGCCTCGATTCGAGGCCGGTTATTTGCCTCGATGCCTCGCTTGTACTCGAATCCGAGCTGCCAATCCTCGACTTCGAGCTGCCAAGGACGGAGTCGAGGATATTAGTCTCATTTCAGCTGAGTGAGACTAATATCCAGTTCCATACTAGTCTCACTCAGTACGGAATAACGTTCAGTATGGAAATTCAGTCGCTTCTATTTCTATCAGGTTCTTTATTACCTTCATAATTTTGACCCTCAATATAACTCTTGATACGTTTAGCAATATCCTCATTATACATTCTTTGTCCTGCCAATCCAGTTATAACAAACATTCTTTTCATGTAATCAGGAATTTCCTTGCTATAACTTAATAAAATACTTTTTATATATTTTTGCGGTTTCCAAAACCTCTCCATTAACGTTTCCATTATGTTTCTTTCCTTCCCAACAGACTTTCTACATTTTTCAAAATCTTTGCTTAATTCTGTCATGATTTCAGACTTGCATTCAAAAGTAAGCAGGAGAGTTTCGAAGAACGGGACAAGCATGCCAGGATCATTTTCCTTGGTTGTTTCATCACATAATGAATTCATTCGGGAGTAAACCTGATGAATATATTTTTTAAATAATAAAAAGTCTCTATAGATGAGAGAAGGAATATAAGAGAATCCCCCCTCCCCAAGGAGATTCCCCATCTCCAAGGAGATCCTCCCCTCTCCAAGGAGATCCCTCCTCCTAGAAAATAGAACAAAAATGAAACGATCAGTCGGGCATGGAAACGATCAGCTGTCAAAACTTTGCTTAATTTTGTTGTGATCTCAGACTTGAATTCAAGAATGAGCAGGGACCCTTGAATTCAAGGGTTCAAGGGTGAGCAGCTTTAATCAGAATTCACCTTGGGCATAGGCTTGGCTAACTTTTTTTCTCAATCCACAATCTTAAGACAATATAAGAACACGGATATTAGTGAGCCATAATTTTTATCTACTGGCACCCATCAAAATAAATATCGGAAATTATCTTTGTATTATTTAGAACTCTCTATCTCTTAGAATTACCATACCTTTCGAATTTCATCTTCATCAAAGATAAGTTTGTCGGAAACAGATCTCACTCGATTGATTAGAATTTGCCATATCTCTTTATGGTCATCGGCCCTTTCCTTAGCCATTTTATAATGCAAATGAATTTCCAATTGTGAAATTGCTTCGTTCGTATTTTTAATTTTTGTTTTGAAACTTTCAAAGTCTTTATTCTTCAATAAACTTGAAGAAACAATATCATATTTGACAATAATTTGGTGCAATTCATATTTGGTGCGGGCCAAAATGATGTCATATATTATGTCAAAATCTGATTCTACTTAAAAAATATTTTTTTGATTTAGGTAGTATTATAAAATGGCAAAATATTATTTAAAAAAGAAAAATATTCTACAGTATATTTTAATGTGTGGCGAGCATTTATGTTTCAAATTTATAAGTTTTTTGTTAAGAAATAGCTTGGTGTGGGCGATAGACTTATTAATAGTTAGAATTTTTCGGTATAGGGATCCTGCGGTATCGGGATTATCCCGGTTTTTCGAATCCCGATTTTGCTGATCCCGAGAAAGATAAATCCCTATCTCTCATTAGGCCAAGTCCGATCTAACATGATCGGAATACAACATACAACACTCGGTATTGGAGTTTTGTACAACACTCGGTATCGGTAACATGATCGGGGTTCTCGGAACCACAAAGTTCTAGCACTCGGCATCGGTAACGTGATAATGGTCTCGGAACCACAAAAAAAGCTCCTATCCCGATACCCTTCCAAAATCCTTAGCCCGATTTTATTGGACTCTATTCATAATACTCTTCATTATATAACTCAAGTCCAAGTGTATCTTATAGTAAGGCACAATTTTATTTTTTTTTAATTGCACCTGAATTTAAGGCGAAATAAAGCCTCTCAGCTAGTGACTGATTTCTGTTTTTAATCAACAATTCCAACAATCTAGATCGTTCTTTTGCTTTCATACTGTTTTTAAACAATTTCAAGTGTTTGGATTTTAGGTGTTTGTTATTAGTTTCTGGCTGATTAAATTCAGCAAAAATATGGTTGAGACAGCTCGACAAATTTAGCTATAAATTAAAGTTTTTGATATGTTTTGAGGAAGAAGTTTTGGGAAAATAGATGTATGTTCTTTAAATTGTTGTGGAGGTGAGGGGGGCGAGTGGAGGTACCTCATTATTTAAACTAGAGTTCAGCTGGATCGGGATCCCGGTCGGGATCTCCATTCCAAATCCCGATCCCTATTTCAGCCCCAAACCCGGATCCCGAATCGGGATCCGTGATCACCATTCCAAAATCCCGATCCCGGGTTTTTCTCTAAATCCCAATACCTCTGAACTCTAATTTAAACCTCAATATAGGATAAATTTTTTAGTCACAAAGAGTAGTGTTGCGCCTGTTGTGCCGAAACAGGAAAGCAAATTTTGAAATTTTGACCGAATCCGGAACCTGAACCGGATATAATTTTTTGTTTCCGGAACCGGAACCGAAACTTCCATCGCAACACTACAAAGGAGTGTATAAAATCGAGGGAGGGTTTAACTTTTTAAATTACTTCATCTTCCATTTTTAGCTCATTCATGCAGTATACTTGTTGGATCCTTGATTTGTCATTTTTAAAATGATTTATAATTTTTTAAATTAAATATACTTTTTCTAAATTTGATTGACATTTATTTAAATATTTTCATCCTTTCTAAATTTCCCCAACTCAAATATTAAACTTACTTTCTCATTAAAAATAATCTTTTCTTTGTGTATTTAAAAATAATCTTTCCTTTCCCTTTCATCAACTTAAACATTTCCTTCTGGCTTATATTTAACTTAAAAGTATCTTTGTTTAATATTGTATTTTATTACTTTCCCTTCTTTATCTATCTAAAATATATTTTATTCAAATCACCGCCTTCAGTTCTTGACTATATAAACACCCCTCACATTTTACTCAATTACCTTAATTATCTTATACTTTATTTTAAATAAATAAACTTGATTTAAAGAAAAGGCTTGTAATTTAATTTGGAAAAGTAACCTGAAAGTTCAGAGAAAAACCTAAACTAAAACCGGGTCAGACTAAAGTAAAAGAGTCAAATCTTTTACTGGTGCCACGACCCGGGAAAGAGATTTGGTTTCTAACTGGCCACTAGATAACCATTTCTCTTGCCCAAACAATAAGTTTGGAGTTTTGTTTTGAAAAAAATTTTTTTAATTTTAATTTGTAAAATTTTTATCTGCCTAGCAGATTTTTTGTTCTCTTGAAAAGAAGAAAGAGGTTTGAGCTGTGTGCGAACCGAAACCAGTGCACTTTAAAAGTTAAAATTGCCTGAGCTAAGTGCGGGCTTCAAATTGGAAATAAATATTGCCTGGGCTTAGTGCGGGCTTATAAATTGAAGATATATATTGAGCCTTGAGCTGTGTGCGAGGCCGACTTAAAGAAATTAATTGGTAGCCTTGAGCTGTGTGCGAGGCCAATTTTTGAAAAAAAGAGAGAATTTTTTAGTTCCTTGAGCTGTGTGCGAGGATTTGATATTTGAGAAGTTGAAACTGTCCCTTGAGCTGTGTGCGAGGAGATCTGAAAAAAAAATCTTTTGTTTAAATTTATATACCCCTTTTTATTTTTTTCATTTAAATTAATCAGCTTTTATTTAAAATTTAATTTAAACATCCTTTTTATTTAATTTATCCATTTAATTTAATTTAAAATGTCTGGATCGGACTTTGATGATGTTTATTTTTCTGCAACGGAGCGAACAAACTTCCAGCCGTTACTTAATCGACTGAGATCTTTTGAGAAAACAGTCGCTCGCTCTTTTCGTCAATTTGAAGAAAGATTAAATGTTGTAGAAGAAAATGTAAAAACTAATAAAAATGGACTTTCTGGAACAAAAGGATCGGTTACTAAGCTCCGAAATTCTTTAAAAACTATGGAAAATTTTGTTAAAGAAAAATTAAACCAAAATATAAATTTTGAGGAAAACCAATCGGAAGATGAACCTAAAATCGATCTAGAAGTGAAAGTTGGGGATCCTTTCCTTAATAATGGGAGTTTTATCCCTCATTACGATGGAAATCCGTCCATTTCATTCTCGAAATGGATAGAAAAATTCAAAGACATTTTAACGCTGCTGACTACCCCATTGACGGAGGCACAAAAACTAGCTCGTTTAAGATTCTGTTTGGATGGCCAGGCAAGGACTTTATATGATTCGATAGATCCCGCTCCAAATACGTTGGAAGAAGCGATTCAATTTTTGAAAACTCGCTTTGAAAATGGGAATACCAAAATTATAGCAAGACAGGCCTTGTCTATTTGTAAGCAAGCGCCAGGTGAACCTGTCTTTGATTTTTCGAATAGACTGAATGAAGCAGTTAGAGCTGCTTTAAGCGGAGAAAATGAGCAAACCATTAAAAAGAGGCTTTTAGAGGAATTCCTGGACCGTATAACGCCAGAGCTACAATTTCAGGTTAAAGCACAAAGGCCTACGGAGTATGTTTCGGCTTATGAATTGGCTCTGCACTTTGAGCTTTTGCTGGGTGATAGAAAACGTGCGAATATTTCCAGTGCAGATCTCGCCGAAAAAGTAGATGCTTTAACAATTAATAAAAATAAACCTGATGTTATTACCTGTTATTGTTGTAGGCGTCCAGGTCATATAGCACGTAACTGTCCTGAGAATCAGGGAAACTTTAATAGAAACTATAGAAGAAACAATAATTACAATCCACGAAATAACTACAATGCGAGAAATTATGATAATAGACAGAGATATTATCAGAACAGATCAAATTACAATCCCAATTACAATGGAGGCCATAGAAATCATTACAGTAATTCGAATTACCGCCAGAACAATTATGAGCAATATGAAGGTCAAAGACGTAATAATTACAGAAATTATAATAATAGCAATCAATATACCTCTAATTCGAGAGACAGTAGTAGATCTTCTGGTAGTAGACGTGTTAAATCTGAGCGTAGATCAAGTCCGTCTATTAGAGTTATTAGTCCACTTCTCCTTGCTTTACTTGCCTTATTATCAGTTTTTAGTGGAACGTTAGCTCATAATCCAATGATTTGCTTAAATGATGCTCCAAAATCTTTATGGAAGTTTCCAGATACAAATTATCCGAACTGGCAGCCAACAGCAGAATTAACACACGAAATTATAAAACTTACGAGTAAAAGTTCTGTATGGCAGAATCCCAGTTCAAGATCAGAAGCATTTGCTAGCAACATTATTGCTAAATGCCTTTTTGCTTTTCTTACTGGAGGTATTTTTCCAATTAACATAGTTGTGGTATTTGCTTTCTGTTGCTACGTTACACTAAAATTTGTATTGCCAGCAATATTGGCCCAAACAATTGGCTATCTAAATATTGGCGAGAGAATTTACCAATACACCTCTACTAAGAAAGGAGCCAAAAAGATTGAGAAATTTAAATTAAATAATTTTAAAATAAAAACGGCAAATAAAGATAAATTAGTGCCGATTGGAGACAGATGGCCCTATCAAAACTTTGGAGAAGAAAATCCTAAAAATAAGTTAGTTGAAGTAATGACAGCTGGCCATCAATGCGATGAGAATATGCGTGTACTTGTAGAAATTAATGGACAAAAATTAATTTGTCTTTTGGATACAGGAGCTCATATTTCTTTAGTTGGTAATAAAACAGCTAAAAGATTAGGAATTACAGACTTATATCAACCAGATTGCAGCGGAGTTATAGGAATTGGAAATAAAGTTATACCCGCTATTGGTCAATCTGAGATAATATTAAAAATAGCAAATATTCCAATTAAAACAAAATTAACAGTGGTGAATGATGTGTTGAGTAACAATGGAACATATAGTGTGATAATCGGAAGAGAATCTCTCAAGAAGATGCCCCTCTTACTTAATTTAATGACGGGAGAATTAATAAATAGTGATAAATTAAAAAATAATCTGCAAAAATTAATAAATTGCTCACTTCCTCTGAAAGAGCAATCCGGAGAGAATCTATATAGAATAGAAGATAAATATGGTTCAGAACGTATTTCACGTAGGGACCAAATGAGGATCCGCAGAGGCGGTCTCCGAAATAAACCAACCTTTTAGGTTGAGAAAATTCTTTTAAAATCTTATGTATATATCTCCCCACCATATTTAATATTTTTTCCATTTATTCTCCTTTACTATTATTTATTGTTCACTGCTTTTTCATCTAATTATTGTTGTCTTAATTTAAAAAAAAATGTAACTTCATCATTTAAAATGACTACAATGGAAATTCATCAAATTTTGGGAAACAACACTACTATTGGAGAGGGAGGAGATGGATGAAAAAAAACAACAACTAATTCCACTAACAACAAAAGAAAAACAATAACCTTCTGAAGTAATTCAAGAGGAGGAAATTAAAGAAATTGTTAAAAATTAACCCTCGTTGCGAGGAGATAGAAAATAAACTAGAAAAAAATTTTTTAGAGCTCTTTCCACCAATAATGAGGGTGAGGCTGAATCTGAAGTCAATGTTACATCTTGCGTCAGTTAGATCGCGAGAGGTTTTAATGATCGATATAGCCCATTCCGTGGGATGGAGGTGGAAACCGCCGTCAACAAAAATTCTACCGTGGTTGCTTATTTGAAGGAGGGAGGAGTGTTGGATCCTTGATTTGTCATTTTTAAAATGATTTATAATTTTTTAAATTAAATATACTTTTTCTAAATTTGATTGACATTTATTTAAATATTTTCATCCTTTCTAAATTTCCCCAACTCAAATATTAAACTTACTTTCTCATTAAAAATAATCTTTTCTTTGTGTATTTAAAAATAATCTTTCCTTTCCCTTTCATCAACTTAAACATTTCCTTCTGGCTTATATTTAACTTAAAAGTATCTTTGTTTAATATTGTATTTTATTACTTTCCCTTCTTTATCTATCTAAAATATATTTTATTCAAATCACCGCCTTCAGTTCTTGACTATATAAACACCCCTCACATTTTACTCAATTACCTTAATTATCTTATACTTTATTTTAAATAAATAAACTTGATTTAAAGAAAAGGCTTGTAATTTAATTTGGAAAAGTAACCTGAAAGTTCAGAGAAAAACCTAAACTAAAACCGGGTCAGACTAAAGTAAAAGAGTCAAATCTTTTAATACTAATACTGTTTCTTCCCTGCGCCATTGTGGAAGAGGCAAAAACAATTTGTTTATCAAATTCCAACGATCTACTGATTTCTTTTCCTTGTCATCTTTGATTTCTTTTAGCATAGACCATAAAGGTTTGTTTCCAAGTTTATGATTTGGATACCAACGGCTACATTGCAAGCCATCTCCAACTTTATTTGAAAACAATGATAGGCGAAGATCTTTCACTAAAATCGTAATAGGAAGGGTTATTTCAAGGACAATATTAATTTTTCTCTAAGTTTATTACAACACTGATAAAACACTTTGGAGTGTTTATCACGACACTCCAAAAATAAAGTCCAAGATGGCTTCATTTTGATTAATTGTTCCGTTTCCTGTCGGTTTTACTGGATTTATACGACGCTGAATCCTCACTTTTGGTTAAGATTTTCACTTATAATTAGGGCTCAACCACTATCCCCGGCGACTGTGGTTCACCAGAGACGGTGAGAGAGTCTCCCCCAGAGCCAACGTCCTCGTCACCGAGGTTAAAACCACCGTCCCCGTGAAAATAACCATCCAACCGTAAATGTTGAACCATACTTTTAAGTTAAAAAATTTTTAAAAATTTTTTTAAATATTTTTAATAAAAATTTTTATTATTTTTCATTAACCCTCAAAAAATTTTTTTGAACTTCTTTTAATAAACACCAATATAATACTAAAAATTAAATCCAAAAATTGAATCCCAGACCTCCTCATACACATCCTCGGACCTCTAGTAAATTTCCACCCTTACGGACCTGGATCCCATTATCCTAATTGTAGCCTATTCGCTTCCATTGAAGGGCCTGGATTTTTATTAGGAAGTTTAGAAATTCTTCAACAGAATCAAAATTAAACTTTCCAACCTTTACTCGATTTAACAACCTCACCATGTTCTTCCTCAATTCCATGGGTGTAAGTAAATAGAAACAGTAACAAATATACAATGGAAAATTTCAGTAAAAACATTTTCAACTTGTTGCTTTTGCAGTGGGGATTTTTAACAAGGCATTGGGCATATGTCAATGAAAAAAAATTTTTTTTTGAATGTCGTTGAGGGAAGAGAAGAATATAAATTTATATAAATAAATTATTAATACAAACTATAACTTCTTCCTTCCTTCCTTCCTCCCTCCCTCCCTCCCCCCCCCCCACCCCCTCCATTTATTCCCTCTCTCTCTTTCACCTCTCCCTCCTTCCTTCCTCCCTCCTTCCTCCTTCCTCCCTCTCCCTCTCCCTCTCCCTCTTCCCCACCCCCCCCCTCCTTCATTTTTCCCCTCTCCCTCCTTCCGCTCTCACTCCACCCCCTCCTCCACGCTCCTCGATCCTCGCCCTCCACACACCCCCTTCCCCTCCATTCCACAATCACCCCCCTCCATTTATCCCCTCTCTCTCATTCACCTTTCCCTCCTTCCTCCCTCCTTCCGCTATTCCTCCTTCCCCCAACCCCTCCTCCACGCTCCTCCGACCCTCGCCCTCCCACGCTCCCCCTTCTCCCCCCTTCCCCTCCATTCCACAACCACGTTTATAGACAATAAAGACGTCTGATGATTGTCGTAGGACCTATCATAAGGGTGGGTAATTGATTTAAATTTCAATAATGCCTCTATTAGAGAGTGTTTTAGATAGATAGCTAATTAGAGAGAGAAATTAATTAAAATTTTGTTCAAAAACTTTAAATGTTTTCCTGATTTTCTAAATCTTCCCTTAACTTTTTTAAAAAGTTTAGCACATAATACATCTGTTAAAGATTTTTCGAGTTAAATATAGCTTTAAATTTGAGAATTAAAAGTTAAATTTGAAGTGATTATTCAGAATATCAAGAAAAAAATTTCAGATTTAGTCAATGCTCTGAGCAGTAGTGATGGTCGGGAGGTAAAAGAGACCGAGAATCAACCCCGAGACCGAGAGCTCATAAAACACCGAGAAATTTCCGACACAAGAACAAAGACCGAGAGTCTCGACCATCACTACGACGCAGTAGATACTGCTCCCCTTACCTCCTTTTAAAATTTGGCTTTATCACTAGACTAAGCTAAACTATCTCCCTATTTAATTTCACAGTGATTATTTGAAAATAATATTTTTCAAAGACAAGAGGTATCTAAAATTTCAGACCGCATTTTTATTTAAAGTATTAAGAAAAACTTTTATTTCAGTCATATTTTATTTAAAAATTGTGTCTTCTCTTTAACAAACTGACTTTAAAATTTAATAATTAAGTTTAATCTTTATCACTTTTCGTTATCCATTGATGTAATGACTGCTTGATCTTCATTACCCTCACAAGGTCTAATCAGCGCATCATTCACATAAAGTTGGTGAACTAGTCTAAAAAATTTGTTAGATATTTTATCTTTCTCTTATATTCCCTACCCAATTTGCCTTTTTCCACTGCTCTGGGATATAATATAAGCACTAGCTCCGGCTCCAATTTCAAAGTGTGTTTTGGTACCGCCCTCCTCCACAAACTCTCCCTTAAAAATTTTTTTTAATTTTTCTAAGGCCTAAAAAATTTTTCTAAGCCCTAAAAAATTTTTTTAAATTAACTAACGGTTGTTTCGACTTTCGAGCCATTAACCCAAACATCCAAAGTTTCTTTCTCTACAGTAATAAATTAAATTATTTCTACCCAAAATACGATACCTAGGCATATTCTAATTTCCTCTTCTGCCATACGAACAAGCCAAATCTTTAAATAAAGTTTAAAAAATAATAAAATTTTTAAGGTTTTGGGCCAAAATTGTCTTAGTTTGAAGGTTAAATCTGGGGGCATTTTTAAAAATAATGGAATTTCAATATATATATTAATAGCTAGGGTAGCATCCTGTCCCCCAAAATTCCTCGCCTGTTCACCAAATTATTATGGCAAAGGTCCACCACACCCGAAGTCTATACCTCAACAACCGTTTACCTAAAATTAACTATGACTCCGAACTCCGACATGGCTTCCCGGCAAATTCCGATCCCCAACAATCAAGTCACCGAATTGTCGGGTTATACCCTGATATTAGCTATATTTATACTTAAACACCTGTAAAGCCTTCTTTTGTTGTTCTCGAAATTTTTCATAAGTTTTCCCTCCGACCTGAAGCGTATATTCGTAAGCAAAAATGCCTACAGCTTCAATATTGACCTTTAAATTTGTTCAATTATATAAATTTTTAAAAAACTTGCCGAACATTTAACTCCATTTAATTCAAATATTTCTCTACCCACCAATTTAAACATCCAATCGTGTTTGATTATTTCCTTAAATTTATAATCTCAAGTTTAAATTATTTAAAATTTTCAAGTTTGCGAAAAAATAGGTTATATTTTAGAACATGCATCCAATGTTTCGGTCGCAAGGGACATGCGTCCAATGGTTCGGTCGCTAATCCGATAACCAAAATTTTCGACGTGCGAGTTCCGACTTCTAGCCAATTCCTATTTCTATCAGTCCCAATTTCTGGTAACTTCGTCATTCCCGACCGACTACTGATGCGTCCAATGTCCTGGAATTAGTAAAAGCGTCGCAACAAAGCTTCAAACTTTTTTAAACATTAGCTCCGGCTCCGAAGCTAGCTCTCCGAGGCATACCTGCATGCCTCAACATACACCCCACAATTTTTTCAAGTTTATTCATACCTTTCCATTAACCCTCAAAATTCTTTTTCCCGTTGTTGTTCCATGGTCAAATTCTATTTTATAAACTTTGTCACTCATTGGAACTGTCCAAGTTGCTACTAAATCATTTTCAATATTCTTATTTAGTGCTACTAGATCATCATCAAGTTTAGACATCTTTTTAGGTTTAAATAAAATTAATTTTCAGAATATAGCAAGAAAACTCTTTAAATTTATTTTTACATTATTTTTCATAAGATAGACTGCTAGCGTTTCCATAGTAATATTAATGGGAGGAAAGGTGCAAAAACTTTGCGTGAGATTTAAATAAAAACTTGAATATTTTTACAATGATATTTATACAAATTACAACTATAGCTTGTAAATAGACATTTGTTTTTAATTAAAAAAATAAAGAAAAAAATCTAAAAATCTGTCCTTACTAGAGATCGAGATGTTTGAGAAGCCTTGGCCTCTTATTGAGTTATGCGTTTGATTTATTGACCTGGGACGGATTTTGGGCCTGTAGCAGGGTGGCCTTTTTACCCTATTTATAGAGGATTTTCCCTATTTTTGATCTTTTCGCCCCATTTTTTCCCTATTTTGTACATTTGCCATATTTTGTCCTATTTTTATCAATTTTTAAAATTTCAAGATGACGACAGTCATCTTGACGTGGTCGTGGTCGACGACCGTGGTCGTGGTCGACGACCGTGGTCGTGGTTGACGACAGTCATCTTGACGTGGTTGTGGTCGACGACCGTGGTCGTGGTCGAAGACAGTCATCTTGACGTGGCCGTGGTCGACGACCGTGGTCGTGGTCGTGGTCGACGACCGTGGTCGTGGTCGAAGACAGTCATCTTGACGTGGTTGTGGTCGACGACCGTGGTCGTGGTCGTGGTCGACGACCGTGGTCGTGGTCGAAGACAGTCATCTTGACGTGGTCGTGGTCAACGACCGTGGTCGTGGTCAACGACAGTCATCTTGACGTGGTTGTGGTCGACGACGGTCATCTTGACGTGTTCGTGGTCGTGGTTGACGACGGCCATCTTGACGTGGTCGTGGTCGACGACCGTCCAGACCCAGCTCGGGTTCTAGCCCTTACTAAAGACAGATCTTTAGATTTATTCGTCTTTATCAGCATTTTTGTTATTACATTACAGAATACAATACAGTACAAATCACTATCTCTAATTTAACTAATTTTTATTTATAGAATTTTTTATCAAAAATATATCTTTTTATCAAATCTAATTTCCACAAAATGAGCAAGATTTTCTACAATTTTGTAACATCCATCCTTGCGCAAATCCGTCTTGTGAATAACACAGATTACTAACTGCCCATATACCACAATATACATTATTGTCTTTACATTCTGTTTTTGAAATATTTTTTAAAAATATTCTAGTTTCAACGAGAGACTGGATCGAGATGAGATCTCGAATAAAAATCTCGGTATGGAGATCAAGATTTTCTGAAATATTTTGTACCATTTTTTTTGAATGTTTTGAACCTTCGTTACCCGAACCTCAAAATGGGGTTGTTGGATTAAGAGGACATCGTGAGATTAAGAAGGTTTTGGGGTTTAAGAGGATATCGGTGTATTGTTAGATTAGGAGGATCTCTCGGGATTAAAAGTGTTTGATGATTAAGAGGATATCGGATGATTCGGGATTAAGAGGATTGATAGATTGGTCCGGTCTCTGATTTATAAACCCACCAGGCATACAATACATTCTTCTAAGCTCAACCACGTCTGTTTCGCTAAGTCCATTTCTTTGCCCCATTATAGGATCATTACTTTGAGGGTTGATCTATTAATTAGTCATTAAACGAAAAATTTATAAAATTCTAAAAACTTTAGCTGTCATTGTTTTCTGCCCAAAATTTTGTGTAGCTATCGTACTTGAATAATGCATAATAGACCCGTAATCGTAACGTACTCCTAAGAATTAATTTTGAGTTTGGCCGTTTGTGTGCTTTAAAATAGAACCCTTACCATAACTTGTGAATTTTGTAGCATCCGATACAGCAAATGCATCGTATTTTTGAGGATTGACATTTTGCCAATTTATAGTAATGAAACGGTCTCGATCTTAAAAAGGTTAGGTAAATTTCCTCTTAGAATCCTATCCTTGATAAAAGGCATATTAGTATCCCATACTTAATATAAGTTAAATGGATGCACATTACAATTAAAGGCTATATTACAAGCCATCTATACAAAAGTTCATAAAAACCCATCCCAACTACATAGATGTCATATTAATTAGAGGTACATCCCTATTAGAGGCCCACTCAATGACACCCATTGAAAAATAAAACCCAGGACTTCTACACAACTTTTGATTCTAAGACTTTATTCATCCACCTATTCTAAGCTGTTCATGCTGCAATCCAAGGGCATGTAATGTTTCGTGTAACGCAATGCCCGCTGGATTACCACAACCAAAACTCAAATAGATCGGGTTAACAACATCTAAACGGCCAACATAACTTTGACCACAACTTGAATTTGTTGGTGAAATAATTTTAAAAAATTTCGGGCCTTTACTCACAAGCCAGAAAGGGCATATTTCACATAATATAAATGAGATCCTGTTGGTTTACTATTAACTTCCTGAAAGTTCAGACATTGTACTTTAGATTGGATTTCGTTGATAGCTTGTCTAACAGCGTTTTTATCAGCTTCCGCTATAAATATGAGAGATTTTGCCTGGGCATTTGAGAGAAAATACGGTATCTATCAAGAAACCTTCCGTGCTAGTTTTTGATTCCGAAAAAGGCTTTTGGGTCTGGAATAGGATTCGTGGAAATTATTTTCTATGTCTACACATTCCCTAGTTTCCTTATTAAAGTGCCAATGAGGCTTACATGTCACTGAGACATCAAACATGTATTGTATCGGCTGTCCCAACGGCCATTGTTGATTAGGAACACCTTCCAGGTAAAGCGAATTTCCTGCCCTTTTAAATCGGCTAGGTTGAGGAACAACTCCTAAACCTGCCTAAAATATTTTTCCAAATTTAAAAAAAATTTTAATTTTGACAAACAGAATTCTGGTTAATTTGATTTATGAGGGCATTTGCCTGTTGCTCAGTTAGAAGTATATCTTCTTGATATACTCCATTATTGGCTGGTTCAACCTTTATTTTTATTTTATTAATATTTTTCAATATGACATACATGCCCTTCTAGACCAGCCTTTCTAATAAGAGCCTTTTTTACTTGAAAAGTTCTAGCTAAGCGAAGTTCAACTTCATTATCTAATTGCTCTTGAGGCCTTCCCGGACTGTTTAAAATTTTATTTTATTTTAACATTCAGCTACAAACTGGTGTGCTCTAGCAATAGCAGCCTCCTGTTCAGCTATAGATGCACGCATGTTTAATGATTCAGGCTTCTGTTTTAAACAATCACCACGTTGTGAACAAATATTCTTAACAGAAAAACTTGAAGTTTTTGATCTCATACATAGAGGTAAACCACTGGAGACCTGAACCCATGGAGACCCATAACCCGTGAGACCTGAAATCTGGAGCCCTGAAACCCCTGCTCCCTGGAGACCTGAAACCCCTGAAACATACCCATTCATCTCCTTGAACTCTCTGAAAACCCTGAAACATCCTGAAACATCCTGAAACACACCTCCTCCAGAACATCCTGAAACAACCTTAAAATACCCTGAAACATCTCCCTGTCATTCCTCAATATTTCAGGTCCCGCTTGGAAATGTTCCTCAAAACTATTGGATATACCCAGAAATTTTTAAACCCATCCCCCTCCCCAATAACGATAATTTATAAAATATTTACCAATATTGCTTGTTTTGCAATTGCAGTAATTTGCCCAACTAACGGGACAACAACCTGCTGCAGAATATTGGGAACTTGATAAATCAGATTTTATTCGAATACTCATTTAAAATAATTCATACCTCCATTCAAAAGATTCTGAAGAGGTAATTGGGGAACTGGAGTTAAGTGGAAATTGACAAGATTGGGGAAAATTGAATTCAAGTCGAAAGCATTTCCGACATTTGGAGCAGCTGGGATAGAACCTTGAGGAAGAATCCATTCTGGGTGGCCTCTGTAAATTTTATTTTAGTAACGTGTAAACGGCCAGATACATCCTAATAATAGCCAAAAATGGATGACATTTAGGAGACATCTTTCCTACGCTCTCTATCTTTTGACATAGATATCGGTTTAATGGCCAAGGAAAATATTATACCTTCTAGGCATTTTATTCGGGTCTTGTCGAATATGTGACTTTAAGACTTGATTCTAAGTGAACTGATACCCTACATCATCTAATTAAATTAATATCAACCCACTGGCACTTTGGATGATTCGGATTTCTACTGCAAAAGCGCATAATCCTTCTCTGCACATGTGGTGGTATTGGGGAGTTTGGATTTGGGGCGAACTAATATATGATAATTTAAAATAATTTAATGTAATTAACAAAGTTTGCAGATATTCCATTAATTAGACCACCAATTTGGTGTGTTAGTTGATTTCCTAGGCCAAATTGATTTAAGAGGCCTTCTACCTGTCCTCCAATGTTTGGATTATTATTGGCTTAAAAATATGATTTTATAATTAATAAAAAGTTTAATTAATGAAAAAATAGCCATTAAAAATGCCCATCCCGCCTTTATTTCAAAATCTCCTATTAAATTTTTAAAAAATAAACTGGCCATTTGGGAAATTCCATATGTTTGGATTGTGTTGTTTGGGTTGTTTAAAGTGCTTGTTGCCAGAAAATCCACGATTTTTGTTGTTAGGAGAGCCATGCAAAAATTTTCCAAAATTTCGGCGACCCAAAATAATTTTTAAAAAATTAATTTTAAATATATAAAGGGCGGGATGGGCATAAATTGAGGGAAATATGAGTGCTTGGCATCTGATTAAAATTTTAGCTTCGGCTTTTGGAGACGGCTATGAAGCCATACCTAAGCTATAAGCCATACCTAGCACTCGTAAAAATTTTAAAATTATTTACCATTATGTTGTTGATTAGGAGGGTTATGTTGAGGGTTATGTTGCGGTCTCTGTCCTCCCCCAAGTAACCCATTCAATGCCCCTCCTAAATTTCCAAGTCCAAGTTGATTCAAGTTAAATTGAGCTTCTGATGATATTATAATTATCAATAATTGATAAATTAATAAAATAAACATCTTTTTATAAAGTTAATTATTTTGGACCTTATACACTTTTGGGGCTTAACAGGTGTGTTTTATAATCTGTTGTAGTTAAATTGGAGGTATCGCTTAGACAATTTCCACACCCAGCGGTTTGGGACAGATGTCAGTCAGAAATTTCATCTCCTAGTTCCATGTCTTAAGCCCTCCAGATTTCCTACAGTTACTATTTCCGGCACCTTTATCATTTACGACAGCCCCCAGGTTTGAATATTGAAATGAACGTAGAGTCTATTGTGTGTACATATCTTCTATTAGTTTATCTTTTATGGACCGAGTGTACATATCAGGGATCCTAACAACCTAGATTCACGATTTCCCTAAATTCACGATCTCTCTATGTTTTTTGGGTCGTGATTCCCGATTCTCCCTTAACTTTTTTAAAAAGTTTAGCACATAATACATCTGTTAAAGATTTTTCGAGTTAAATATAGCTTTAAATTTGAGAATTAAAAGTTAAATTTGAAGTGATTATTCAGAATATCAAGAAAAAAATTTCAGATTTAGTCAATGCTCTGAGCAGTAGTGATGGTCGGGAGGTAAAAGAGACCGAGAATCAACCCCGAGACCGAGAGCTCATAAAACACCGAGAAATTTCCGACACAAGAACAAAGACCGAGAGTCTCGACCATCACTACGACGCAGTAGATACTGCTCCCCTTACCTCCTTTTAAAATTTGGCTTTATCACTAGACTAAGCTAAACTATCTCCCTATTTAATTTCACAGTGATTATTTGAAAATAATATTTTTCAAAGACAAGAGGTATCTAAAATTTCAGACCGCATTTTTATTTAAAGTATTAAGAAAAACTTTTATTTCAGTCATATTTTATTTAAAAATTGTGTCTTCTCTTTAACAAACTGACTTTAAAATTTAATAATTAAGTTTAATCTTTATCACTTTTCGTTATCCATTGATGTAATGACTGCTTGATCTTCATTACCCTCACAAGGTCTAATCAGCGCATCATTCACATAAAGTTGGTGAACTAGTCTAAAAAATTTGTTAGATATTTTATCTTTCTCTTATATTCCCTACCCAATTTGCCTTTTTCCACTGCTCTGGGATATAATATAAGCACTAGCTCCGGCTCCAATTTCAAAGTGTGTTTTGGTACCGCCCTCCTCCACAAACTCTCCCTTAAAAATTTTTTTTAATTTTTCTAAGGCCTAGAAAATTTTTCTAAGCCCTAAAAAATTTTTTTAAATTAACTAACGGTTGTTTCGACTTTCGAGCCATTAACCCAAACATCCAAAGTTTCTTTCTCTACAGTAATAAATTAAATTATTTCTACCCAAAATACGATACCTAGGCATATTCTAATTTCCTCTTCTGCCATACGAACAAGCCAAATCTTTAAATAAAGTTTAAAAAATAATAAAATTTTTAAGGTTTTGGGCCAAAATTGTCTTAGTTTGAAGGTTAAATCTGGGGGCATTTTTAAAAATAATGGAATTTCAATATATATATTAATAGCTAGGGTAGCATCCTGTCCCCCAAAATTCCTCGCCTGTTCACCAAATTATTATGGCAAAGGTCCACCACACCCGAAGTCTATACCTCAACAACCGTTTACCTAAAATTAACTATGACTCCGAACTCCGACATGGCTTCCCGGCAAATTCCGATCCCCAACAATCAAGTCACCGAATTGTCGGGTTATACCCTGATATTAGCTATATTTATACTTAAACACCTGTAAAGCCTTCTTTTGTTGTTCTCGAAATTTTTCATAAGTTTTCCCTCCGACCTGAAGCGTATATTCGTAAGCAAAAATGCCTACAGCTTCAATATTGACCTTTAAATTTGTTCAATTATATAAATTTTTAAAAAACTTGCCGAACATTTAACTCCATTTAATTCAAATATTTCTCTACCCACCAATTTAAACATCCAATCGTGTTTGATTATTTCCTTAAATTTATAATCTCAAGTTTAAATTATTTAAAATTTTCAAGTTTGCGAAAAAATAGGTTATATTTTAGAACATGCATCCAATGTTTCGGTCGCAAGGGACATGCGTCCAATGGTTCGGTCGCTAATCCGATAACCAAAATTTTCGACGTGCGAGTTCCGACTTCTAGCCAATTCCTATTTCTATCAGTCCCAATTTCTGGTAACTTCGTCATTCCCGACCGACTACTGATGCGTCCAATGTCCTGGAATTAGTAAAAGCGTCGCAACAAAGCTTCAAACTTTTTTAAACATTAGCTCCGGCTCCGAAGCTAGCTCTCCGAGGCATACCTGCATGCCTCAACATACACCCCACAATTTTTTCAAGTTTATTCATACCTTTCCATTAACCCTCAAAATTCTTTTTCCCGTTGTTGTTCCATGGTCAAATTCTATTTTATAAACTTTGTCACTCATTGGAACTGTCCAAGTTGCTACTAAATCATTTTCAATATTCTTATTTAGTGCTACTAGATCATCATCAAGTTTAGACATCTTTTTAGGTTTAAATAAAATTAATTTTCAGAATATAGCAAGAAAACTCTTTAAATTTATTTTTACATTATTTTTCATAAGATAGACTGCTAGCGTTTCCATAGTAATATTAATGGGAGGAAAGGTGCAAAAACTTTGCGTGAGATTTAAATAAAAACTTGAATATTTTTACAATGATATTTATACAAATTACAACTATAGCTTGTAAATAGACATTTGTTTTTAATTAAAAAAATAAAGAAAAAAATCTAAAAATCTGTCCTTACTAGAGATCGAGATGTTTGAGAAGCCTTGGCCTCTTATTGAGTTATGCGTTTGATTTATTGACCTGGGACGGATTTTGGGCCTGTAGCAGGGTGGCCTTTTTACCCTATTTATAGAGGATTTTCCCTATTTTTGATCTTTTCGCCCCATTTTTTCCCTATTTTGTACATTTGCCATATTTTGTCCTATTTTTATCAATTTTTAAAATTTCAAGATGACGACAGTCATCTTGACGTGGTCGTGGTCGACGACCGTGGTCGTGGTCGACGACCGTGGTCGTGGTTGACGACAGTCATCTTGACGTGGTTGTGGTCGACGACCGTGGTCGTGGTCGAAGACAGTCATCTTGACGTGGCCGTGGTCGACGACCGTGGTCGTGGTCGTGGTCGACGACCGTGGTCGTGGTCGAAGACAGTCATCTTGACGTGGTTGTGGTCGACGACCGTGGTCGTGGTCGTGGTCGACGACCGTGGTCGTGGTCGAAGACAGTCATCTTGACGTGGTCGTGGTCAACGACCGTGGTCGTGGTCAACGACAGTCATCTTGACGTGGTTGTGGTCGACGACGGTCATCTTGACGTGTTCGTGGTCGTGGTTGACGACGGCCATCTTGACGTGGTCGTGGTCGACGACCGTCCAGACCCAGCTCGGGTTCTAGCCCTTACTAAAGACAGATCTTTAGATTTATTCGTCTTTATCAGCATTTTTGTTATTACATTACAGAATACAATACAGTACAAATCACTATCTCTAATTTAACTAATTTTTATTTATAGAATTTTTTATCAAAAATATATCTTTTTATCAAATCTAATTTCCACAAAATGAGCAAGATTTTCTACAATTTTGTAACATCCATCCTTGCGCAAATCCGTCTTGTGAATAACACAGATTACTAACTGCCCATATACCACAATATACATTATTGTCTTTACATTCTGTTTTTGAAATATTTTTTAAAAATATTCTAGTTTCAACGAGAGACTGGATCGAGATGAGATCTCGAATAAAAATCTCGGTATGGAGATCAAGATTTTCTGAAATATTTTGTACCATTTTTTTTGAATGTTTTGAACCTTCGTTACCCGAACCTCAAAATGGGGTTGTTGGATTAAGAGGACATCGTGAGATTAAGAAGGTTTTGGGGTTTAAGAGGATATCGGTGTATTGTTAGATTAGGAGGATCTCTCGGGATTAAAAGTGTTTGATGATTAAGAGGATATCGGATGATTCGGGATTAAGAGGATTGATAGATTGGTCCGGTCTCTGATTTATAAACCCACCAGGCATACAATACATTCTTCTAAGCTCAACCACGTCTGTTTCGCTAAGTCCATTTCTTTGCCCCATTATAGGATCATTACTTTGAGGGTTGATCTATTAATTAGTCATTAAACGAAAAATTTATAAAATTCTAAAAACTTTAGCTGTCATTGTTTTCTGCCCAAAATTTTGTGTAGCTATCGTACTTGAATAATGCATAATAGACCCGTAATCGTAACGTACTCCTAAGAATTAATTTTGAGTTTGGCCGTTTGTGTGCTTTAAAATAGAACCCTTACCATAACTTGTGAATTTTGTAGCATCCGATACAGCAAATGCATCGTATTTTTGAGGATTGACATTTTGCCAATTTATAGTAATGAAACGGTCTCGATCTTAAAAAGGTTAGGTAAATTTCCTCTTAGAATCCTATCCTTGATAAAAGGCATATTAGTATCCCATACTTAATATAAGTTAAATGGATGCACATTACAATTAAAGGCTATATTACAAGCCATCTATACAAAAGTTCATAAAAACCCATCCCAACTACATAGATGTCATATTAATTAGAGGTACATCCCTATTAGAGGCCCACTCAATGACACCCATTGAAAAATAAAACCCAGGACTTCTACACAACTTTTGATTCTAAGACTTTATTCATCCACCTATTCTAAGCTGTTCATGCTGCAATCCAAGGGCATGTAATGTTTCGTGTAACGCAATGCCCGCTGGATTACCACAACCAAAACTCAAATAGATCGGGTTAACAACATCTAAACGGCCAACATAACTTTGACCACAACTTGAATTTGTTGGTGAAATAATTTTAAAAAATTTCGGGCCTTTACTCACAAGCCAGAAAGGGCATATTTCACATAATATAAATGAGATCCTGTTGGTTTACTATTAACTTCCTGAAAGTTCAGACATTGTACTTTAGATTGGATTTCGTTGATAGCTTGTCTAACAGCGTTTTTATCAGCTTCCGCTATAAATATGAGAGATTTTGCCTGGGCATTTGAGAGAAAATACGGTATCTATCAAGAAACCTTCCGTGCTAGTTTTTGATTCCGAAAAAGGCTTTTGGGTCTGGAATAGGATTCGTGGAAATTATTTTCTATGTCTACACATTCCCTAGTTTCCTTATTAAAGTGCCAATGAGGCTTACATGTCACTGAGACATCAAACATGTATTGTATCGGCTGTCCCAACGGCCATTGTTG